AGCCTTAAATATCATTCCCAATAGTATTTCCGATACTATGTGGGATTGAGCATTACCAACACTTGTTTCCAATACTATGTGGGATTGAGCCTTAAATAGTGATATTATTTTTGAATGTTTTGCTTAAAATTACAATAATCGCGATTGATTGTAGATTGACTTTTAATTATGACATATTTAATCGTATAATACTAATGCAATTGATTGCTGATTCAGTTGTTTTAAGGTGCATGATTGTTAATTGTTTCCTGAATAATCACATTGTATTAGAAACAAGTGTTGGTAATGCTCAATCCCACATAGTATTGGAAACACTATTGGGAATGGTATTTAAGGTTTGGCTTTCACACTTCCTTGTTGAGTGATAGAGAACAAGGGGGACTCTTGCGCGCCGCCGCCGTCCGTCTCGTCTCGGGTCGGGTCGGGTCGGGTCGGGTCGGGTCGTGGTCGTGGTCGTGGTAGTTCGCATTGCGATAGTCGACTATCGCATTGCGATTTACATATTCGCATTGCGATAGTCCAAGTTCGCATTGCGATAGTTCAAGTTCGCATTGCGATAGTCGAAGTTCGCATTGCGAATCTGGAAACTGATTTGCGATACCGGAGATCGTGTTGCGAATTATCGATCGCATTGCGATTTAGTTGGTCATTTTGGCAAATCCAAAAAAAGTTGGTTAAAATCGTATATTATAAGGCATTTTTGGTCAATGAGGTTATTTTCTCTATATATTATTGTGTATTTCTTAACGCAGTTGACAAGGTAGCTTAGTGGCACTAGCATGCGTCTAATATCCTAGTGACCCAGGTTCAAATCCTCCAAATATTTTTTCATCTTCTTAGTAACTTAATTTTATTCCAATCGGATGGTGACACATATTGGGCTCTGAATAATTAATTAATTAAATTAAAATTAGGATATAATTGATATAATATATAAATATTAAGGACTAAATGTATAATTATGTCAGTTTTTTAACGGCTAGTGGCTTAATTGACAACAATTAAATAGTTAGGTGATCTGATTGATAAAATTGAAAAATTAGTGGTGAATGTAAAAGGATTATATAGTTTAGTGGTCAATGGTATAGTTTACCCTTCTTTTTCTTTTTCCTTTTACAACAAATTAGTTATAGTTAAATAAGTTTATAATTTAAGGGTAAAGTACACAGAGGGTCTCTTGACTATAGTGTATTGCTTTTTTAAGTCCCTAGATTATTAAAAATTACAAAATGATCATCTAACTATTTATATGTTCCAAACTCATCCTTTTTCGATAAAAAATGGTGACCGTATGAGTTGAACGTTAATCTGTTGATTAAGGTATGATAAAATTTAGTCTAAATATTATTTGAGTTGTATTTTATGAATCAACTCTCTATTTACATTATATAGTAAAGTCAATGCTTGAAAGCAATGAAAATGTCAGTAGATATTATTAAAATATAATTTTATCATATCTCAACTAACGGGTAAACTTCTAGCTTAGACAGTCGTTATTTTTTAAATGGAAAATGACTAGTTTAGAATATATGAATAGTTCAGTGACCATTTTGTAACTTTTGATAGTCAGAGAACTCAATAAAATAATATGATATAGTCAGGATATTATTTTGTAACTTTAATAGTCGGATGATTCAACAAAGCAATATATATAGTTGAGCCATCATTTTATATACTTTACCCATAATATAAATACTTTAATTCTACCATAATATAAATCCTTTAATTCTATAACCCTTTGAATGAAAATGCAATGGTATTTTCAGATTTTAAAATTATTCGATTTGTAAGATTTTTTTTCTTTTAAATTACAAGTAAAATTATAAATATACATGGATTAATTATTATAATATATTATTATATGGATTAAAATAAATTTAGATCAAATTAACACGCAATAAAAATTAAATAAAAACAAATTTAAAAAATTGGATAAAATTTAAATATAAAATTTTAAGATGCTTAAAACTTGAATTTTATTAAACCAAAACATTATCGACATTGATATTTTTCTATATAAAAAAATAAGCTTCGAGAATTTATTAATGAAACTTTGGAGAATATCCAATACACAAAACGAATTATGATTAAAAAAAAGGTAAATTGTCTATTTAATCATTCCCTTAATATTATTTTTTATTAGTGAACTATATTGAAATTATACTTAACATTAATTTTTGTTTTCATTTTGGTCTATTTCGTGAGGTTTGATTGTTAACTTAACAAAATTGATGATGTGGCATTGATATAAAAACATATTTAGTCCACAAAACTTACATATTCTATAAAATTGATGTTAATTCGAAATAATTCAAAAAAATCTTCAATATTTAAAAATCATATCAATTTTATTATCATCTTGATTTGAAAGGAATTATTAATATTTTAATAATAATTTATATACTTTATTAATAAGTTAATGGCTTACTTTTAAAACTATCAAAGTGTAAGGACTTATCGTGTAACTGATCATTTTATTTTAATTTTATCCTAATGATCATTCTCGTGTTCTTAATAACTCCCACCACCATCTTCTTACCGTCATTCGTCCTTCCTTTGTCATTTGACGATTCCCCCAGACTCTTATCACAGCTTTGCTCATTGTCGCCATCGTAACGTTTCCACCTATTTGTCATCATCGTCGCTCTTCTACATACCCTTCGAACACCATTTTTCATTGTTCCAATCAATTTTCTCTTTCCACATTCGTTGTTCTCACATCCGCCCAACATCCGATGGCCCTAGCTTCCAGTTGTTCGTCGGAAATCTAGTTTTCAAAATCGACCCAATAACTCACGAGGGGTGCGACTAAGTCTGGTGGTTATAAGACTTGAACGACGTTGTAATGGGTCGTCGAAAGGTGTGCAGTCGATGTGCAGAGCCAGCAACATCGGCTGAACAAATGAGAGGCGATGATGATAGAGATTTGGAAGAGAGATTTTATGTTAAACCAAATTAAGGATTTTCGAATATTAGGAATTTTTAAATTATTTCAAATAATAACTTATTTGATGGAATATGAAAGTTTTGAGGATTAAACTATTATTAGCATATTATATCACATTACTTTTGTTAAATTAACAATCAAATCTAATGATGGAGATTCAAAACGGAAATATAAAGTTAGGTATAATTTTTAAAAAAATAGTAATTAGATGATCAAAATAGAAACACTATAATAAGTACGGGATTAAATAAGAAGTTTACCCTGAAAAAAGCAAAACAGTAAGTAAATTGGCAGCTAAAGTGGAAAGACGAGGGAATTTCCTCAACGAGGAACACATGTTCAGAGGGTCCAGATTCCAGCTGCGCAAGCTCGTATACGAGAACATTGTCTTGCCTGCAAACAATACATGCTACAACGAACAACTTGTAAAACACATTTACCATCTTTCATCACTGTCGTCGACACCGTTTTACACTTGGACGGAGAAAGACTGATATCGATTCGGGATTTTCTCTTTGGACATAATTTTCGAAATATAAGGAGTCGTCACTAATCATTTAAGGTGTGATTGAGACAATATAAAAATCGGGTTATTTTAATAAAACATTTTATTTTTATCAAAATATCAAGTTTTAAGGTCTGCGAAAATTCAGAAATCGGGTTTGAGAGTCAGTTACGCGTGGGGAAGGATTAGCACCCCTACAAGCGCCCAAAAATTAGTACCTACTTGATTACATTTTATTTAAAATCAAAAATTTTGAGTTCGATCTTTATTTAATTTGAAAATCATTACAGATGCAAAGTTAAAAAAATATTCGTTTATTAAAGCCGATAACATTCGCCCCTTAGTATAAACACGGGAGATAAGCTATTGTGCTTAATAATCGAATAGTCTCGTTTTTTGAAAATCATGATGTGGTCTTAAAAAGGATGTCGACTTATTTCGGGAATTACCAATAGTCACCCCGGAGCATGCTTGCTGGAGATATACTATTAATTCCCTAATAAGTGAACATTATCTTAGGCTTTAAAAAAACAATGTAATAAAACAAATTTTTATTTAATTCTAATTAAAAAAAAAATCTACGCTTGGGAGCGAATGCTATCGATCTCAATAAACGAATATCATTTTTAACTTTGCATCCGTAATAATTTTCAAATTAAATAAAAATCGAATTCAAAATTTCTGATTTTAAATATAGGGTAATCAATTAAGTACCAATTTTTTGGCGATTGTGGGGTATTAATCCTTTCCTAAGTGTAAATGACTCCCGAACTCGATTTATGGATTTTCGCAGACCTTAAAACTCGGTATTTTGATAAAAATAAAAAGTTTTATTAAAATCACCCGATTTTTATGGTGTCTCAATCGTACCTTAAATGATTAGTTGCAACTCCTCACATTTCAAAAAATCATTTTAAAGAGAAAAACTCCGAGTCGATATCGGTCTTTTTTTCGTCCGAGCGAAAGACGGTTTCGACAACCGTAAGTATTGTTGTTGTATACAAGTTTGTATTGAAATTGAATTATACACGAGACAGATTAATATAATTGATCGTATTGGATCGGGGCTTATAATATTTATTATTTGAATCGACTCACATTATTAATTAGATTGTGATTCACAATGTTTATTATTTGGATTGGCACGTATTATTATTTAGATTGAGGCTCAAATTGTTTATTATTTGAGCCAGCTCGTACTGTTACGAAACATAAGGTTAAACTTGAGTTCTTTGTGTAATATTTTAAAGTCGATCTATAAATTTTGATAATTCTAAAATATTACATTGGACCTTACATTTACCGTCAAAAAACTCATGTAACATTCTCGGTTGTAACCGGAATTACTATCAATTGTGTAACTTTTTAAAGTAGACAATGTAACATTTTAGGTTAAAACTCATCGCAATATAACATTTTCGATTTTAACCGAAATTATTATCAATTGTATAACTTTTTAGAATAGACAAGACAACATTTTATGTTAAACCCATAGTAAATTAGCCTTAGATTTCCTTGTGAACTAACGACTAAATGAGCACAAGGTTTACAATTTCCTCCATGTGATTCCTCAGAGTTGAAAGTAATTGATGTAAAAGGTGGTAGAGTGGCCAATGCTTCTGGTGTCAATGGAAGTCCAAGTGCTTCAATCTGTGGGGGAACATGTTAGCAGCTTATATTGCAGTACTAACATACAAGAACAGGCAACAGTTACTAAAATCTGCAGGCCATAATAAAATAGTAAATACTCATCTCAAGAAGACATATTTTATTTCTATAAAGAAACCTGATTCCTATATGAGTAAAAGTCGTTGGAACCTAAGATCGTGATATCAAGACCTGCATGACGAGTTCAGATCTGTTGTCAGATCCCGGAAGTTATGGTTTCAATAAAAAGAGAATATAAATAAATGTAATGTTAAACATCACCTTGTAAGAGCAGTTTATCTAATGCATCCTTCTTATTCTTGTCAAATGTTGCATATGCAGCGGCTACAGGATACTGAATTGCGTAGAAATGATGCAGTCTACTATGACGCTAGATGTGCAAGGAAAAAACTTTGATCATACGATGAAACTTGCCTTGAAGATACACACTGAAGTGTTAAATGTTTCCGAGACAGTTTGTACATGCTTTCTCTGGAAAGCTGAGGAGATGTTAGCTTGACATCGGTCCATGACTGAAACACAATACAGAGGACAGCTGTTAAAACCAACTTTTACTTCACCGATCACCAGTAAAGCAAGAAAACTCCTATCAAGCCTCTTGTTTGTAGGGCAAGGAATCAACAGTTACAAAACATGACACTCCAACAAGCACCTAGAAAGGGGTCAATATCATACACACGAGTTCTTTAATTGAATGAGTTAATTTTACAATTCAGTATCAGATTTCCTCAATTTACCATCAAATTGAAACATGAATCGCAGGTTCCGTGACTCGATAATCAGCAAACGAAACTGGTAGAGTAAATCGGGCAGTCAGCACAAAACAGTCAAAAATGGATGTTGAGAACCATGTCCGGTGGGCCCCGTTCACCTACCAGCTTGATTATGCTTACTTGACAAAACCGGACAGGATTTGAAACCGGTGAAAATCGTTTGAACCGGTCTAACATTTGTTTTGGCATTCTTTAACCTGATCTGATTCTAGGGGTATTGTTTTTCTGCTCTGACACTTGGTTATGATTTTTTTTTTGCTTCCATACTTCGATACATGTTCTTCAACTTGCAAGCCACGAGGCATCTGGTGCCATAGAAGCCTATCATGTGAAGCTGAAATCAAAATTGTTCGACGATTCACATCTCGGTGCACTTCAGAGAGTTGACTGATTAGTGCACAAGCTGACAACTGAGTTGCATTCAGCATAGTGGCTTGACCGGTATGCAGACGAAAGTGATTCTTTTCTAAATGTCAAGGAGGAATACATTGCATTGTTAGAGTCGGAGGAGAAGTCGGAGGAGAAGAGGGAGAAGTCAGAGGAGAAGAGGAGGAACGAAGGAGTGAAGAGGAATTGGGAAGAGAAGAACGAGGGTTAGGGATTATGGAGAGTGAATTGGGAATTGAAAGGAAAGAGGGAATTGAGAGAATTGAAGCGGGAATTGAAGAAAGAGGATTACCTGATGAGTTGAAGTCAGCTACAGCGATCCAGAGCAAAAAGGAGTGGCCCAACCAGGATGGCCCAGGACCTGTAATAGCCAAAGCATGATACATATCAGTTTGTTAGGAGTTTGTTAGCAGAGAATGCCAGCTGGCAATTGTTAGATTCTCTGTACAGCCTGTATCTAAATAAAACTGTTGTGTAATCACATTTTTGGGAGTAGAAATGAATGTATGAACTTTTCTTCTCTCTGAATTCTTTCCTATCCTCTCAAACTCTATCGAATTCTTCTCTAATTATCTTCAGTCTATAACAAATTGGTAATCAGAGCCTAGATTCTGGCAACGTTTAGTGGGCATGACAAAGAAGAATCAAGCTATGGCAGAAACTGATTTGTCTGGGATACAAAAGCAGATTGAAGATCTAGCTGTGCTGGTGAAACAAGGCAAAGATGAAAGTAATCCACCTAAATGGTGGGAAAGTCAGGAGAATAGAATCACTGCTTTAGAGTCTAGAATGGCTACTAACCAAGGCTATGTGGAGGAATTGCTTAAGATTCTGACAGGCAGAACAGGGGAGCAAGAGCATTCTGCTGGAGACCAGGTACAATCTCATGATAATTCTAAAAATAGGGATAAAAACCCTATTTTGGTGATTGTGGTAAATGATAAGTCTAGATTTACTTATAAAACGGATGAACCTGGGATATTAAAGAGTAAACCTGATGCTTGTTTAGCTATTAAGAACAGTTCTAAGCCTGATAATCAAATGGGTGAAAACAGTGACTCTAGGCCTATTATGCTGGGGTTGGAAGCTGAAAGAAAGGGGTCAGGGGGTTCATTTAGCAATACAAGAACTATGTGGCATATACCTAAAATATAACTGCCTTTCTTTGAAGGGCCTAATCCGAGAGGATGGATTCAAAAATGCTTAAAGTATTTTCTATTTGCAATGTTCCTGTTGAGCAGAGAGTGGAAGTAGCTACAATGTATCTAACAGGCAAGGCAGAAATCTGGTTTGATGGGTATATTATGCAAAAACATCATGTAGCATGGCATGAGTTTGAAGCTGATTTGTGTCACAGATTTAGTGACAGATCCTTTTATGATATTGTGGAGGAATTTACTAAATTGACTCAGAAGGGGTCTGTGGAGGATTATCAAGAAAGATTTGAGGAATTACAACCTCATATGCTTTTACAGAACCCTACTTTAAATGAGGATTTTTTGTCTCACTCTTTATTAGTGGACTCAGGGATGATATCAAACATAGGGTCAAGGCTTTGGATCCTAAAAATTTGTCTGAAGCATGTAAACAGGCAAAGCTTTATGAGTTATCTGTTGAGTTTGAAAACAGAAGGCTGAAGCCTACTTTTAAATCCCCACCCTACCCAAGCCCCATTATTAGTTCTAAACCTGTTTCAGTGCCACTTAATTCCAAGCCTACAGCACTACAAAACCCCAGGCAGAATCTTATTGATTACATGAGGTAGAATAACCTTTGTTTTAAGTGTGGTGATAAATTTATTCCAGGGCATCAATGTAAGAACATACAGTTGAATATGATTACTGAAGAGTCTGAAAATTCATTAGAAATTTTTCCTACTGATTCAGAACAATCTCCACAAGCAGAAGAGGAAACTTTGGAAATTTCTATGAATGCAATTACAGGCTCTATTGAACATACTACATTGAGAATTCAAGGCTCTATTCAGGGCAGATCATTGAATATCTTAATTGACAGTGGGAGTACACATAGTTTTTTGACTCCTAAGTGGGTTGATGCTGGTATACAAATTACAACCCCTTATCCTTTGGCTATCACTGTGGCTAATGGTCAGCAATTATTCAATTCTGCTCGATGCAATAAGGTAGAATGGCAAATGCAGGGACACACTTTTGTACATGATTTCAGATTGCTTAAATTGGGTGGTAGTGATATGGTGTTGAGAGTTGACTGGATGAAATTGTTTAGCCCTATATTGATGGATTTCAATAATATGACCTTGAGTTTTGACCATCAAGGAGAAAAGATATGTATTCAAGGCCAACAACCTTCCTCAGAATTACAGCAGATTTCAGGGGCTACCTTACTTAAAATGACTGCTTGGGATTCAGATATTATGGGTCACATTGTTTTGTTGACTATGTCAGGGAATTCTGATCCTATTCCTACTGAAATACAACAAGTCTTGGACAAGTACAACATTGTTTTTGCTGAACCAGAAGAATTAACACCTCAGAGGACTCATGATCATGCTATTCCTCTAAAGCCTACTGCTACACCTGTTAATCTAAGACCCTACAGGTTTCCTCATAATCAGAAAGTTGAGGTAGAAAAACAGATTGCTAGTATGCTTACTTCTTCTGTTATTCAGCCTAGCAAAAGTTCTTTTGCATCACCCTGCCTTCTTATTAAGAAGAATGATGGAACTTGGAGATTTTGTGTGGATTATAGACATTTAAATAGCATGACAATCAAAGATAAATTCCCTATTCCTATAGTGGAGGATTTATTGGATGAGTTGCATGGGGCAGTTTATTTTTTTAAGATTGATTTGAGGTCTGGATACTGGCAGATTAGAATCAGACCAGAAGATAATTATAAGACAACCTTCAGAACACATCAAGGCCATTATGAATTTAAGGTGATGCCTTTTGGCCTTACTAATGCTCCTGCTACATTTCAGGCTCTTATGAATGATTTATTTAATTCCTTCCTTAGGAAATTTGTTTTGGTCTTCTTTGATGACATTTTGGTTTACAGTAGTAGTATGCAGGATCATATGAGGCATTTGCAAATGGTTTTGGAAGTTTTGCAAACTAATAAATTATTTGCAAAATTGTCCAAGTGTTTTTTTGGACAACAACAGGTGGAGTATTTAGGTCACATAATTTCTGCTGCAGGGGTATCTACTGACCCTAGCAAGGTAGAAGGAATGCAGACTTGGCCCAGACCTAAGACCATTAAATCTTTGAGAGGTTTTCTGGGATTGACAGGGTATTACAGGAGGTTTATCATGCATTATGGTATTATTAGCAGACCTTTAACACAACTCTTGAAGAATGATGGGTTTCAGTGGAATTCTGATGCTTCCATTGCTTTTGAAGATCTTAAAAGAGCTATGTGTTCTGCTCCAGTATTGGCATTACCTGATTTCTCTAAAAAAAATTATTTGGAAACTGATGCATGTTCTGGGGGTGTTAGGGCTGTTCTGTCACAGGAAGGTAGGCCTATTGCTTATATGAGTAAGGCTCTAAGTCCTAGACATTCAGCAATGTCTATTTATGAAAGAGAATATCTTGCTATTCTTTTGGTTGTTTCTAAGTGTAGGCATTATCTGGAAAGTGGACCCTTTGTTATTAAAACTGATCATGAGCCTTTAAAATTTCTGTTGGAATAGAAATTGACTACCACTATTCAGAAGAATGGATTAACAAAGCTATTGGGGCTGGATTATACTATACAGTATAGAAAGGGGAAATTAAATGTTGTTGCTAATGCTTTATCTAGAAGATGGAAAGACCAAGCTCAGTGTTTTACTTTAGGAGTGACACTTTTAATTCTTACTTGGGTGCAAGAAGTGGAGGACAGTTATCAAGGTGATATTTTAGCTCAGAATTGGATTTCAATTATGGCTATCAAACCTACTGAAGACAGTAAATGGAAATTTTCTAATGTTGTTCTTAGATACAATGGAAGGGTCTATATTGGGGCTCATGGAAGTCTTAGGTTGAAAATTATTCAAACCTTACATGACTCTCCACAAGGTGGTCATTCAGGAATTCAGGCTACTTATTACAGAGTTAGGTTTAATTTTTATTGGCCTAAACTTAAAGCTATGATTACTACTTATGTGAGATGTTGCACAGTTTGTCAGCAAACAAAGGTGAAACATATATCTAAGC